CAATTGATTCCTAATTCCATTCAAATTTCGATGTCTTTTGCTTAAGAACTCATTGTAATCACAATCAGAGAGCTTTCGTTTGTTCCTAAACTCCAATGAATTGTCCAGAAATTCATTCTTATTATCAATTCTTATGTTTTCATCCGTCGAATGGTCTTCAGTTGACTTAGAAGAAGGCCTTTCATTGACAAGAATATTATTTTGTGAGTTAAGACTCAAATCGATGTCAATCAACACTTTTAGCAATTTCTTCACTGCTTTCGATGACTCTCTCAACGAATGGTTCACTTCTTTCTCTTGTAGACCTTCTTTCAAAAGACTTAAACAATCAAATTGTGGACATCTGTTGCTATCCATCAGTATTTTCTGCACATTAATCCGACATTCAAGCAAATTATCCCAAATTAATAACTGCTTCTTCAGAGCGATTCCCTTCGATATATCTTCATTGACATCAATGTTTGAGAATTGATTTATGTATCCATCGCTGCCTTCGTCCACATCTTGTCCATCACTCAACTCTTCAACTGCTTCTTCGTTTTCGTTTTCACTCTCATTGCTATCAAAACTGGAGTTTAAGTCTTCAGAGGAGGCGGTCGGCGCTCTTATGTTATCGCTATAGAACTCCCTGTCCTCGAGTTCGGGGTCACTTCCACTCTTGCCTTCATGACTGCCATCGCTGTGTTCATCCTCTGACTGCCAGTCTGTGAGCACATCCCGAGTGACTTTGATTCCTGAATACCTATCAAATGATGGCAACTATGATGACAACGATGTGCACAACATATGACTATCAAAACCAACCTCTCATTCAAAGACCACAAATGACTTCTTGCTTTGCGGGTTAAGTCACTTGCGCTCAATGGCTGATCACCGCCGCTGTTGTCTGTTGTGGTGGTGTTGAGCACATTGAGGGCAGACGTCTCGGTGTGGATGTCATCCTCGGGATCAGTCAGAGATGGCAACGGATTGATGAGTGAAGCGATTTGATCGGACAGTGAAGTCATGTTTGGTAAGCAATCTTCACTGATCACCACAAGTTGTCCACAAGTTGTCCACAAGTTGTCCACAAGTTGTCCACAAGTTGTCCACAAATTGTCCACAACTGCACTCACAGTGAATGCACAACATGTGCGTCAGTGCAGTGCTGCCACCCATTCACAGCCACACGAGTCTAATAGTAGAGTAGTGTTCAAGTGATCAGTGAATTGAAGTATTGGTGCAATAATTGGTGTCACGAATGGTCACTAAAGTGAGTGTTGTATGCAATCGTTATTCAAATCTATTCTCATTACAAATACTTCAATCATTACTATTAATATGCTTAATATTAGAGTACAGTTGTTGGCATTTCTATTTATTCATTTACCATACCATACAGTATAGAAACACAATAGTATTCATACAGTAAATATAATAGACAATAAAAATGAATGGTGAGCTGACCTAGGTTACTTGTGTTAAGGCGACTGGGCATAGTATAGGTTCCATAAGAG